CGAAGGCGGCAGGCACGGCTGCGGAGCGCTGGCTCTGGAAGACAGGGAGAGAGGGAGATGAGGAGAGAGGGAAAGGGAGGGAGAGAGGGAGAGAGGGAGAGAGGAGCAAGCGCCGGGGCTTGGGGTGGAGGAGCGCTGCACCACCAACCACCTCAGCAACCGGTGGCTGCACCCCCCGGACCCTCCCCAGCGGGCAGTGGGGCTGGGGGAACCCGGGGAGCCCGGGGGTCCCGGGGGGGCGAGGAAGGGTCTTACCGAGCCGGCTGCAGCAACATGTGCCCCGGCGGGGAGGCTGTGCCCGGAGCCGGGAGGGGGTCTGGCTCCCCTGGGATGGGGGGCTTCTGCACCCCCAGGGTGGGGCTCTGCCCCCCGCCGCTGACTCAAAGTGTCCGGAGCTGTCCGGGTGACCATCACCATCATCATCACCCAGTGGAGCCATTTGTTTTGTCAGGGAGGTAACCATGACAATCCCCTCGAACACCCCGGCGCTTCCCCCTCCCCTCGCTCGCCTCCTGAGCCCGGGGGCTGCGGGGGAGACAACGGGCGAGGGGCGAAGCCCATCCGGGCGGAGGAGATGCCCCTGAGCTGGGCAGGCTGGTGGAGAAAAGAGGCTGAAACTCCCCTCACCCATCCCCACGATTTATCTCCCCGGGATTTTCCGCAGCAGCTGCCGGGAGGGGAAGAACCCACCGCATTCACCTTTGCCATCCCCTTTCTCTTTCAAAGGAAGGAAAGCACCCTAAAGCCCCCCAAAATCAGCGTGCATCACTGCTCACTGGCCTCCTGTGCAGCTCTAGGCTGGGTATCTCTCCCAGCCTTGCTGTTGCCCCCATTCCCATCTCAGCTCCTGCATCCTCTCCCCCCCGGGAACCCCCAAAGCCCCTCAAGCACAACCCCCACCCATGGGGGTACACAAGGACCCTCCCCACAGCAGCAATGCTGTGCTGAGGGATGACCCTGGTGGGATACAGTCCCTGCCCTGAGCAACTTACACTTAAACCCAGGAGAAACTTGCAGAAAGGGGAAACTGAGGCAGCTGGGGGCACACAGACTCGGACATTGTCCCAAAGCAGAGCTGGACACCAAGCCTGGGTCACAGCACACCAAAGTTAAAGCTCCTCTTTCTCCCCCTGGCCTCCAAGGACACATCCACGCTGCAGGATTGGGATGACCAGACACGTGGCACCCCTAATGACCCATCCTCTCCCCCAAGAACAATGTGTTTTAGAGGAAATGGCAAGAAACTCCACAAACAAATGCCTGATCAAGATTTTTTTCCTAAGCCCGGCTGCCAGGGCTGACTTCAGCCTTGACCCTCCAGAATTTATGGCTCTTGCCAGACAAATAAGTCAGCCATGGCAAAACACAGGTCCCGTGTTCCCAGTGCCTGTAAATGTTTGTTTACCACGGCTTGTGGCTTCTGGGAAGAAAATAACATATGCCAGGAGAAATCCTGGGATTCAAACCAACAAATGTGGTAGCAGCAGGGTATTTGTTTAGAAGATAAAGCAACATCTGATAGGGTGGATGAGGCAAGTGTGAGACCTCAGGAAGACACACATGGAGTTTGGGGGGAATTAATATTTAGTGCTGATGCTGAAGCTGCATCACCACAGTGATCAAAAGTGCTGCCCAGAACAGCTCACAGGTGTTTGTTCCTCCTCATCCTCTCCAGGCTGGCTTTGCCCAGGACACCCCACCATGGATGAGGGCCAGCCCCACCCAGGGAGCAGCAGTGGGGAATGGGATGGGTGTAAATGAGGCAAAACTGGGGAGGGGACAAGCTAAAAGTAACATTTGAGATCACCTAAGTGCCATATCAATGCTTGTGGCTTTACCCACCTGGGGCCAGGCAACAGCAGCACCTCCAACCACCACAGAGGAATGTTCCCAGTCCTGGTTCATGCCTGGGTGGACTCTGGGACTGGCCAAGCACAGGACAGGTTTTCCAGGCTCATTACCCAGCTCACTGAAGTGTGCTCGTGTGGTGCTCTTGTGCTGGGAGATTCACATGGGCTCAAAAGTTACAAAAAAACCCAGAAAAAAACTAATACTAAACTAAATCTCCGGCTGGATGGACAGCAACAAGCACTTCCCATGATCTCCATGTGTGTTCTGCACATAAATGCCATTTTCCTCAGCCTGGAATGCTCTGAAGAAACAAATAATCACTCTGTTGGGAGACTGATGATTAAAAACTGATAACATAGGGTTGGGCAGGGATTGCCTCCTCCTCCTCATCTTCCTCCTTCTCCTTTTCCTCCTCTTCTTCTTCCTCTTCCTCCTCCTTGCAGCAGGTTTGTGTGTGGGCAAGGAACACTGACCTGTTTGGGGTATAAGGACCAGAGATAATTTCAATGAAATTCCACCATCCAACCTCCACCATTGTGAGCTCTCTCATTCCAGCACAGCCAGAGTCTGCTGGTTTAAATAAATAAGCGTTTATTTAAACAAATCTGAATATTTACCTCATGTTTATATGAATAAATATGTAATTGTATGACAGCAGAGTCCCCAGCAAAATCAAGGACCCTGCATGGAACCCACAGGAAACCCACACCTCCAAGAGCCCATCCTGCTCCAGAGACTGAGGAGAAAAGTCTTTCCTCATGGGCAGAACAGAGAAACACCCACCACAGTCACACTGACAGGCTGCACAGCCCTGAAAATCCCAAGGAATGATTGCAGCCAAGGTCAAGGAGCAGAAAGGAGGTGTTGGAAGGATCTGTCCCCAGCCAATGTTGTCTGATCACAGCTGTCTTCTTCTCAGTACCTCTGTTTTCCCCTCTCTAAAATGGGACTAATCCTGATTAAATGTATTTATGGGAGGTGTGTCAGCAAGAAAACATTAAACTGAAGGCATGAGCCTGTCAGCCTCTGGGATTTCCCACATTCATCTTTATTTTTACCCTAATTAACTAATTAACATCTCAGACTTGCCTTTGGCTGCCTGCTCTGTTGCCATTGAAAATCTCCTTGTGTTCAGCTCCAGTGTTCAGCATCCTCCTGTTGCCATGGAAAAAACTGCCATGATGTCACCTCCACAACCACAGCTCCAAATACAGACCCCAAAGTTCACGTGTGGGGCTGGGGAGGGATCCCCACAGACTGAGGGACATGGGGCCACCACCTCCATGCAGGAAACTGAATTAGATGGAAAAGTATCAGATTATAATATTTGATAATAACAGAGTTTAGTTTTAAGGAAAAAAACAACCATGGTTGGTGTGAAGAGAGCAACAGTGAAGGGTCCAGCCCCACCTGGGATAAGATTTCTCAGCACAGAAAGAAATAACAGCTCAGTTGGAAGTTTTAGGCTGTGGGAACAAATTAAGTGTCTCCATTAAAGGGGAGGGGGAATACTGAGTCAGGGAAATAATCCTTGGTTTGGGAACTTGTGGCTGATGCCTGCAGGCTTGGCCATTTTACTGGTTCTGCTGCCTGGAATAAAAACACAAATTCAGACCATCCTTGAGAGCTGCTCTGTCAAACAAGGCTCAAGGAAGGGAATAGCAGCCCAGCAAGGAAATCCCACAGGCTCTTCCCACATTTCTTTAATTTCTACTTTCCCTTTTACTCCTCTTTATTGCAAGACCTTTAAAGAACAGGTTTGATACCAGGTCTAAGCTGGCTCCTGCCCTACAGCAGGAGACAGGACAGAAATTACTCTTGCAGCTCCTGTCACTTCTAGACCTCCATGACTCATTCTCCTACCTTGTTTTCACCTCCACCCCTGCTCCACAGACGGAGCTGCAGTTCCCTCACAAATGTCACAGTGTCTGCGTGATTCTCCCCCAGCCCTGGCTCCCAAAGGGACTCCATTCCATGGGAAACAGAAGCTGCAGTCTCACACCAGATGGCACGGCAGGGCCTGACCCTCAGACTCAAACCAGACATGGGGCACAGCCCCACCCCACATGGAGGCCCTGACCCACAACCCCAAACCAGACATGGGGCAGAGCCCCACCCTGCATGGAGGGCCTGACCCACAGCCCCAAACCAGACAGGGGAACAATCCCAGCCTGACCCCACATGGAGGCCCTGACCCACAGCCCCAAACCAGACAGGGGAACAGCCCCAGCCCACCCCACATGGAGGTCCTGATCCCCAGGGATGGCCACATCACACAGGGGACTGAGCCCCACATCATGTGAGACACAGGCTGACCCACAGATCATAGCAGGGTCCTGATCTCAGCCCCACAGCATTCAGGGCACCAGGCCCCTGACCACAGTGCCCCTCAACATACAGGGGATATGAGCACCCAGCCCCACACTGCACACGGCTCACAGCCCCACAGGGCACAGAGCTCACAGCCCCACAGGGCACCCAGCCCCACACTGCACAGGGCACACAGCCATACCCTACACAGGGCACACAGCCCCACAGAGCTCACAGGGCTCATAGCCCCACAGGGCTCACAGCTTCACCCTATACAGAGCTCACAGCCCCACACCCCACACAGGGCTCACAGCCCCACAGCACACAGCCATACCCTACAAAGGGCATACAGCCCCACAGAGCTCACAGGACTCACAGCCCCACAAGGCACACGGGGCACACAGGGCTCACAGCCCCACAGGGCTCACAGCCTCACCCCACAGAGCACACAGCCCCACAGGGCTCACAGGGCTCACAGCCTCACCCCACAGAGCACACAGCCCCACAGCGCTCACAGGGCTCACAGCCTCACCCCACAGAGCACACAGCCCCACAGCGCTCACAGGGCTCACAGCCTCACCCCACAGAGCACACAGCCCCACAGCGTCACAGCCCCACTTTGCACACAGGGCTCGCAGCCCCACAGAGCACACAGCTCACAGGGTCACAGCCTCACCCCACCCCGTGTCCACCTCTCCCTACCCCAGACACCCCGCTGTCACTCCCCACCCCCCGTCCCCTCTCCCGCCGCCCCCGGAACGCGCAGTCCCCGGAACGCCGATGCGCGGCCGCGGTTCGCGGGTCCGGGCGGTGCCGGGGCGGTGCCGCGGGCGCGCAGGCGCCGCTCCCGCCCGGCGCCATCGCGGCTGCTGCGGCCACCCCGGGCCGGCCATGGCCACCGACTCGTGGGCCCTGGCCGTGGACGAGCAGGAGGCGGCGGCCGAGTCGGTGAGTGCGCGCCGGGGCCCGCGGGGGCTCGGGATGGTGCGGCCCGGCCCGGTCCAGCGGCGTGGGGTCTCCCGGGCCGCGCGGCCCCCGCCGCCTCCTCACAGAAAGCAGCGATCGAGAAACGCTTTTCGCCCCATTTTCTGCCGTGGGGGCAGGGAGGGCCCGGGGTATCCGATTGTCCCTGGGCTTGGGCTCGGGCTCGTCCTTTATAAGCAAAACCCCCAATTTTTATTTATTTATTTACTTACTTACCATTGTTTTTAAAATTTCTTCGCCTTCATCCATTTTCTGCGTATCCAAAGGGCAGAGACGTCCCTGCGATCCCACTCGCCCTCCATCCAGACACTGCATAGCTTCAGGCACTCACGCTGCCTCAGCTCTCTCTTCCAGCATCCAAAATTTCCTCTTTCTCCCTTTTTTTTTTTTTTTTTTTTAATGAAAAGATGTAACTTTGTACCTCAGAAAAATTGTTTTCTGTTTTTTCTGTGCTTGGGCATAGAACACTAACTGAGGATGTGGGGAAGAGCCTCGGGGTTGCTCCCCCTGCACATTTCAGGTGGTGAAACAAATTCATCCTGGGGCAGCTTGTGCCAGCCAGGACAGGGCATAGATCCTATTTCCATCCTGGAATGATGATTTTTCTCCCATTTTCCATCAGCAGAGCTATTGGGGAGTGGAGGGTACAGGACACAAAACAACCCTTTCCCTGTGTTGTCATTACAGTTTAAAAAATTTGTATTTTTGTTTAAACTCCTGCTTAGAAATAGTTGTATTAAAACTCTTGAAATCAAGTTCCTCTTGTGTCTTCATCCCTTCCAGTTGAGCAGGATTTATGCAATACTTGATAAATCCAAAGATCAGGTTTTCCTGGCTGGGGAATTAGAATATAGGGAGCTATATTTGAATTTCTCTGATTTTGTGTTTTCCTCATTTCTAGTTGAGCACTTTACACCTGAAGGATGAAAAAACCAAACCAGATGCCAATGGTGAGTCCCAGCTGCTCAGATGGGCTTGGAAAGGGGGGAATGTTTCCCTGTGGGGGTTCAGAGCACTGCTGCCAAAGTAAATTCCTGGTAAATCATGAGATTCCAGAAGAGCTGAGATTAAACAGCAACACAGACTAAATATTTTGGTGTCTCAGGGAGCTGGGCGAGCAAAATCCATTGGTGTGGTTGCTTAACTGCACTTGGGGGTGGTGCTTGGGTTTCCTGTGCACAGCAGTGGAGCAGGGCAGTTCTCCTCAGGAAAATGAGCTGTGTGGAGATTTTCAGGATGCTCCAATCAGCTCCTCAGGAAAATGAGCTGTTTGGAGATTTTCAGGATGTTCCAAAGCTCTGGGGTGTGGGCTGCCCTCACGCCCTGAGCTCACCTGCGCCCCCCTCACCTGTTCCCATGCAGGTGCCGTTGTCAAGGCAGATGACAATGTGGAGAAGACGGAGGATGAGGAGAAGGGTAAGTGCCTTCCTGAAAAAAGCTTTGGCAAGAAATTTAATTTGATTTAATTATAATTATATTGATTTAATATATACTTAAAGTAAGTCTGCCTTATGTCTCAGGAGCGCTGATCTTGTATCCTGCCCCAAGGACTTAATTGTAAGACATGTCCTTCCTCATAACACTTTTAAAGGCATTGTGTCCTGTAATAACTTGGGAGACTCCTGGATTAGAGTGGAGAGAAATAAGGGGATAGCAGTGTCCACAAGGCAGGACTGGATACAGGAGCAGTTGGATAACCTGGAGCTGGGATTGCTGTAGCAACCAACGAGTTGTGTTTGTGCAGTGGCTGCTCAGAGGTGGGTAAAGGCTCACGTTCTTTCAGAAGGTGGTTTTAGGAAACAGATTTAGTAGCAAAACCCCAAAGTGCAGCAGTTTAAGCTCATTTGGATCTCTGTTATCCTCAACTCTTGTGATTCAGCTCTGAAATCTTTTAAAGTACCTCATTTATCCTCAAACCTTCCTTAAAAATAAAACCCTGGGAGGTGTCTGCCCACATGTCAGAGTGAGGGTTGAGGAGGCCTTATCCTGTCCCAGGCAGATGCTAAGCTCAAAGAATCTTAATAAGCAGAGATCTGGATGTGTTAAAGTTCCCCTTAGAACAGTGCTCGTTTGATTTGTCTTCCTGGGTATTAAATGGGGGAATCTCTGGGATCTCTCAATGTCTCATCCAGGAGGTTTGGGCTCTTCAAGCCATCACACTCTAATGAAGAATTTCAGTATTTGGAGGGATTTTGTCCCTTTTAAGTGGCTCAGGAGTTCAGTGGGAGCGAGACCAGGAACAGGCTGTGACTGATGGATTGATGTTTTCCACCTCCTTTCCCAGAGGACAGAGCTGCCCAGTCCTTGTTGAACAAGCTGATCCGCAGTAACCTGGTTGACACCACAAATCAGGTGGAGGTGCTGCAGAGGGACCCCACATCACCCCTCTACTCTGTCAAGTCTTTCGAGGAGCTGCGCCTGTAAGTGCCTGCTGGGAGGAGCCAGAGCCTTCTCTGCATGGAGCTGTAAATCCTGGGATCACATATATTAAATAGGCTCCCTTATAACTGGGTTTTTCAGTTTGTCATGGGGAGCCTTATTTGTAACTTCTGAGAGAGAAGTTTTGCTATAACTGCCAGAGCAGATATGAATTTGGAGCCCATCAGGTAGTTGGAACCTCTCCTCATGTCCTGAAAAATTCCCTGGTGGCATAGGAGATACCACTTAAAAGTACATGGGTTTGTGTATCAGGTTAATGCCAACCTGTCATTAATAAGTGAGTGTGTCATTTGTATTATTTAAATGCAAGGAGAGTTGGTTTATCTGGGTGCCTGGTAGGGGTTTCCATCTAAAACAACGGCAGTGAACAGCACAAAGGGAACAGCTTATCTTTTCCAGCAACACTGGATTTATGTACTGGAGACACCAGTATTTTCTGACTTCCTTCCCATTGAAAACCTCTACCAGTGCAGCTTTCAAGGGATGATAACTGTGTTTAGGGCATGTTGATGGATATATGTATTAATATGCTGAAGAGTGCATCCTGTTGGGATTGCTGTGCTTGTGTTGATCTCAGGTTTGTTGCTCTACAAGCTCTGCAGCAAAATGGAGCTGAAGAGCCTTCTCCCCATGAAATGCCAGGATGTTTTGCTTTGTTGGTGTTTGTGGTTGAGTGTCTGCAAAAAGAAGCTGAGGTCCTGCAGTGCCTGTTAGACTAATTCATTCCTGTGTTTCAAAAGGCAAACAATCCCAGGGAGCTAATGACAGGGACAGCCAGCCTAATTGAGTCTTCATTTTGTTATGACTCGGAGTATCCTTGGCAACTGGTGCAGAGTTGGGCTTTGTCTGTCCTTGCTTGGAGCAGCACAAGGTTAGGTTTTCAAAGGGCTTTTGTTCCAGCCATCATTGGAAAGCAATACAGGATTTTTGCAAAATTATGTTGTGCTGAATGGGAAGTTAGTGCAGTGGGAGATGTGGGCAGGAGAGCTGTAACCTGCTTGGAAAGGAGAGCCCTTCTGAGAGCACTCACAGCATCCAGGGAGCTCTTGGGGGTCATCAGCTGAGAATTTCCAGCACCATAACCCGGATTTAGGTTGTTCTGGGGTCTCCTTGTCTACACAAGTGTCTGCTGAGAGTAGAAAGCTCCCTGGAGAGAAAGCAGCAGATGAGAGTTTGCTGGTCAGCAGTGTCACCACACAGTTCTGGGTGTGAGGGCTGGCTTGCAGCCACAGATCACAAGGTGTAGTCACAGCAAACTGAGCTAATTATCAGTCATTTACCTGAGCCAGCATTGCTCAGCTGTAGTACAGGATCCACATAACCTGCTGAAGTCCTTGCAAGGATCTCATGATCCCTTCATCCTGTTCCTCACGCTTTGTCCCGTGTTTGAGTCATCAAGGAGTGATAATTTTGGCACCAAGATTAGGCCTGGCTGAGGAAATGGAACTGGCCTGAAGGGCAGGATTAACACTTTCTGCTCTGTGATTCCTGGATTGTCTGAAAAGCTGCTTTGAACAAGCAGTGCTGGCCTTAGACACAGGCTTTGCCCTGGAGCTGGGACAGGCAGGCCGACTTATTAAATCCAGGGGTTTTTGCAAAGCTCCTTGTCTAGACTTCCTGCTGTCACTTATGGTTCCAGATGCTGACCACAGTTGTTTCACAGGTGGGATTGTAGCAGAGACAGTTGTAAGATGTCTTCTTGAGGGTTTTTCTCACCTTTTTGTACACAAATGAAAACTAAATGGACTTAAATAGGTCATGATATGAAAATTTCTCTTTTCAGGAAACCACAGCTCCTGCAAGGAGTCTATGCCATGGGCTTCAACAGACCATCTAAAATCCAGGAGAATGCCCTGCCCATGATGCTTGCTGAACCGTATGTACACGTTCTTCCTACTCTCTACCAGAATAGAAGGGTTTGAAAGGTTCAGTGTGCTGCTCCTGAATTTTGGGTGGGAGGAGGGTGATTAGAAACTCTCAGGGTATGGAGAAAGGGTTCCCATGTCACAATGTTTTGGTGGTTATTAACTATGTGCCAGCAGCCCTGGATTTGTCCTTTTCCTAGGGCTGGTACTGAGCATGCAGTGCTGTGGAGTTTGGGAGGTCGTTGCCATTTTCCTCATTAGTTTGGGAAGAAATAATACGAAATGGCTCAGAAATCCTGGGTGGGTAGGAGTAGCTGAGGTGCTGATTTTCCTCTCCACAACCCTGAGCTGGAACATGTGAGGTACTGAGACACTGGGGAAGAAGTGTGAAATGGGAAATCACTGAGAGGTAACCACAGCTCTCCTTCCAAATCTCCCTAACTGAGAAACGCTGAAGGAGGGTGTTGGGCTGTGGGAACTCAGCACAACATTCCTGATGTGCAGAGTCACCGAGATAACCCTTGGGGGCTCGGAGGTCCTGGAACGTTGCCAGAAGTGTTTGGTGGCTGGACTTTGATCCTGCACAGGAGACGACACCTGTATGAGGATGAGAGGATCACAAGAGGATAAATGGTGAAGGGATAGATTAATTATAGTGTGAAACACAGGTTTTAGAATCTCGGTACAGGGGGGTTCTAGGGGACAAGATGGAGGAATTAGGGCGTGTCCTGTCCTTCTTCTTCTTGTCATCCATCTTCGATGGTGATGGTGGCACTTTGAGATTGGTTCTTACTGAATGTGCACTTGTCAATAAGGGTGAAAGGTATTGGGGAGAAAAGGTAAATATCTTACACGTAGTTTTGGGTATAAAGATAAGTGACCGCCCCGAGGGCAGTCAGTGTGCTCATGGCTGACGTGCTGTGCGGAACTCTGTCGGGCCAGGAGAAAATATTGTAGATAAGAATGAATAAACAGCACTGAAGAGCGAAAAACCTGAAGACTCCTTTCGTCCTTTGGAGCGCGGGCTGCCCCAAGGCCATCCCGAGCCTTTCCAGGCCATTAGAACAGCCGAGGAACGGGACATTGGGCAGGAGGAAATCCCTGCCCCATGGAGCTTAGCTGGTCAGGTTGGCCGTGGATGCAGAGCAGGGGTAGATGTGACAGGATTCAGGTGCCCCGTGGTGCCTCACGCTCTGAGCTGTGCCTGCTGTGCCCCCAGCCCGCAGAACCTCATCGCGCAGTCGCAGTCCGGGACCGGCAAGACAGCTGCCTTCGTGCTGGCCATGCTCAGCAGGGTTGAGCCCGGGAACAAGTATCCGCAGGTAATCTGGGATGGGGCTGTCTCACCCTGGCCCTGCAGTGCCATCTAGCGAGGAACCTCAGCTGCTGGAGGCCTTCACATGTAAATTCATGGCTCGATGGAGCCGTGGTGTTACTTCTTTAAGCTGCTTAAAGGGGATGGGGGTTTGGGGATTTATCAGTTCAGTGCAAAAGATGTAGATTTTGCTCAAAACTTGTTCCTATCAGTCCTTCATCACCCAGGATGCCATTGCTCTGTGAGTGTGTGAAGGGTGAGATAATACACATGTTATAATTCACACTATCACAATCAGAAGCTAACTATTTCTTAATTACAATACATTATAAGCATTTCTTAGCTTACCAGCTTATATCACAACATACTACAAATACCTTATACTAATACCAAATAACCAAATACCAAATAACTAATAATCTAAAATTACCCCTCATAAGTCTCACTACAATATATCTTTCATAGTTCTGTTTCTCCAAAATATCTATTCTTATTTATAAAACCATTTTTTGAAACTCGTTTCTCATTCCATTTCTCTCTCAACAATGTTTATCCTATTTTATAACATTTTTAAGTAATGTATGTTTACATACAAATGTATACTATGTGAACCTTCTGTCAAACTTTGAGCATTTTCTACAAATCCATTTCCCACATGTGAGGAGTTAAATTTTTCTGTGAGGACTTAAATCAGAGAAATAGTGCAGGGTGAAGGGGGTTGGGTAAGTGGCTTTGGGGTGGAAGAGAAGGTAACTGACAACAGAGCAGAAAATGCCTGGAGAGGGACTTTTAAAATCAGATTTCCTCATAAGATGGTTCAGAAACTGTTCATCCACTTGCATATTTGTCTTGAAGAAAACTTCAAGGATTTTAAACAGCAAGTTTAAAACTTCAAGGATTTTAAAAAGCAAGTGTGATAGTGTTGCCCTGGATGTTGATCACCTCACTCATTATCCTTCTGTTCCTCCAGTGTTTGTGCCTTTCCCCAACATACGAGCTGGCACTTCAAACAGGAAAAGTGATTGAACAGATGGGGAACTTCTACCCAGAGCTGAAACTTGCGTATGCTGTCAGAGGCAACAAACGTGAGTAAGGGGAGACACCACAAACAGGAGTGAGGGAATGATGCTCCTCAGGTGCACCAGGGCAGTCAGGGGGTGAAATGGCTCGGTCAGAGAGGGCTGGAACATTTCCCTGTGTGCAGAGCCCCCCTAGAGCAGCCCTTCCTTCTGTCTCGGCAGTGGAGAGAGGGCAGAAGATTTCGGAGCAGATCGTCATCGGCACGCCCGGCACCGTGCTGGACTGGTGTTCCAAACTGAAATTCATCGATCCCAAGAAGATCAAGGTGTTTGTGTTGGATGAGGCAGATGTGATGATCGCCACCCAGGGCCACCAGGACCAGAGCATCCGCATTCAGAGGTACGGAGGGACAGGGATGGTGGGGCTGCAGTTGGGGCCGGTGTCCTCACCGGTGAAGCAACAAGATTGAAATGGCAGATTAGCTCTAGTCCAGGGGGCTCACAGAGGCACAGTGTCAGGGGATGACAAGCATTTTCATTTCACAGAATAACACAGAATCACTAAATTGGAAGAGACCTTCAAGATCATCGAGTCCAACCCAGCCCCAGCACCTCAACTAAACCCTGACACCAAGTGCCATGTCCAGGTTTTGTTAAACACATCCAGGGATGGTGACTCCACCACCTCCCCAGGCAGAACATTCCAGAACTTTATCTCCCTTTCCATATAAAACTTTTTTCCTAATATTCAACCTGTATTTCCCCACAGCTTAAGGCTGTGTCTTCTTAAGGTTAGTTGTCCTTAACCTTAAGGTGTCTTCTTAAGGTCCTTGATGCAGCTTAAGGTTCTGTCGGTGCTGCCTGGAGAAAGAGACCAACCCCACCTGAGCACAGGCACCTTTCAGGGAGCTGTAGAGAGTGATAAGGTCTCCTTATCCTGAGTCTCCTTTTCTCCAGGCTGAGCACCCCCAGCTCCCTCAGTTGTTCCTCAGGGGTTTGTGTTCCAAGTCCCCCTCCAGCCTCGTTGCCTCCTCTGGATGTGTCTCAAAGTCCTTCCCAAACTGAGGGCCCAGAACTGGACACAGTGCTCAAGGTGTGCCCTCACCAGTGACAAGTACAGGGGCAGAATGAGCTCCCTGCTCCTGCTGGCCACACTATTCCTGATGCAGCCCAGGATGCCATTGGCCTTCTTGGCCACCTTACAGAATAAAAATCCTGTCCCTGGAGCAGGGTTTATTCCTCTTTAAGAAGGTATGTCTGGATGCCTGTGGTCCATGAGGGAGTGTTCATGGGTGGGTAAGATTGGTTTTAGTCTTTCCAGCCAATGAAATAACTGAAATAACTGGTTCCAGCATTGTGGTTTTCCTTTGCCTGTAGCATTCCATCAGGATATCAGGAGATGACCATGTTGTGTGGGAACCCTCCCTATTTCTCTCTCTCTTTCAGAATGCTCCCCAGGGACTGCCAGATGCTCCTGTTTTCAGCCACTTTTGAGGATTCTGTGTGGAAGTTTGCTCAAAAAGTTGTTCCTGACCCAAACATTATCAAACTGAAGCGTGAGGAGGAGACCCTGGACACCATCAAGCAGTACTATGTGCTGTGCAATAACAGGGATGAGAAGTTCCGGGCTCTCTGTAACATCTACGGGGCCATCACCATCGCCCAGGCCATGATCTTCTGCCATGTGAGTGCTTCCAGGGAGTGTTAGTCCTAGTGACCCCTCAGAGTCTGCAAGTGCTAAAACCAAGCCAGACACAGTTTCCAGAAAGGAGCTGAGAACAAAATTGCCCTTTTTGGCTTCTCTGGCTCCATCTTTGAGGGAAATCCTGAAAGCCACATTAATACTGGCTGGTTTGATTTCCTGGGTTTGTCCATCCAGGAGACAAGACTGGATTTTTTTATTCCTCAGTGGTCATTGTTAGCTCTTAAATCCTCTGAAGCAAAGATCAGAGTAATGCACATTATTCCAAAACTCTGAACTGAAAAGAAGAAAAAAGTGGGGTTGGAAAATGGATGAAAATAGGCCATAATGAGGGGTTGGGAAGTCTTTTGCTTCTCCAGCTGATACAGAGCTGTTCCTGCATTTCCCTCAAGTAATTGAGGATACACCTCTGGGATCTCACTGTGAATCATACTGAGACTTGGTTTTCTTTTTCTGGAAGGTGCCATAATAATTTTTAGGGAAAAATCAGTGCTGACAGCACCAAACAGCCAGGCAAAGTGAGCTCAGACAGGATGAAAGTGTTTGGAATCTGCTGCAGCAGTTTGCTTTTAGGCTGTCTCAAGACATAATTGGAGCTCAGAAAACTGTTTAATTCAAGGCTGTGCAGAGCTCTGTGGGATTTCACAACTACATTCAGGTCTGACCCTGCCATTTTCCAAGCTGAGTAGTTGTGGTTTTGTGACAAGTTTCATGAGTTTTCAGTGTACACATGTAGCGTCCGTCTCCAGCAGAGTGAAATCCAAGGAGCAGAGCACAAAGAAAACCTGTCTTATTAATCAGGGGCTCCTGTGGTGGCTGAGGTGTATTATCCTCATTCTTACGCAGTTTGTAAGGGACACAAAACCTGAGCAGCCACGGAGCTTCCAGTGGGCCCCCAGGGAGGTTCATTGGCTTTCCCAGCATTAGAACCCTGTCCAACGGTGGGGCTGGCTGTGTGTTGCAGACTCGGAAGACGGCGGGGTGGCTGGCGGCCGAGCTGTCCCGGGAGGGCCACCAGGTGGCGCTGCTCAGCGGGGAGATGATGGTGGAGCAGAGAGCGGCCGTCATCGAGCGCTTCCGCGAGGGCAAGGAGAAGGTGCTGGTGACCACAAACGTCTGTGCCAGAGGTAGGATGTGGAGGAATGGGGACAGGTGATGCTCCAGGGTTTTAGCTTTCATGTTTTTCATGTATTTGTGACTCTGCAGTTCTTTAGTGTGTAACTCCAAACCCCACACGCAGTGCCAGCTGCTGTTCTCCCGTTTGGGGCAGACACAGCAATTTCTCTCCAGGCCTGGCACTCAAGGACACCTCACTGCCTCAGGATTTCATATATTCATTTAATATATTCTTTATAATTTGCATTTACAATTTGTAATATAACCCTGCAGTTCTTTAGTGTGTAACTCCAAACCCTACACACAGTGACAGCTGCTGTTCTCCCATTTGGGGCAGATACAGCAATTCCTCTCCAGGCCTGGCACTCAAGGACACCTCACTGCCTCAGGCTCCAAGAAATTAAACAAAAGGAAGCTGGGGAGAGCAAACTTGGGGTAAATTATTTCATTACCTGAAGCTGTAATTGGAGGATTAACCCCCAATATGCAGATGAACCAAATTTATAAAAGTGAAAACTCGTGGTCCATTTTTGAGTGTGGCCCCTGGGGGGCTTTGTCTGCCCAAAATGTACCTGAAGGCCCTTCAATAAATATACCCACTTTTTATTCCCTTTATTTTGTCTGGCCTCTGTTTTTAGGTGGCCTGAAAAGGCATCCCAGGGAGGGCTGCAAGCAGCACTTCATAAGATAACACATATCCCTGGCCAGCTCACAGGAGGAAATCACATCCTCAGGTGTTCCAGTTGGGAGAAATTGGTGTCCTTACACTGTGTGCCTGTGGGCAAACACAGGATTGCTTGTTGGCTTCCTGCTGCTTGAGATGGAAAAGTCCATCCTGTGAGAGTCTGGCACCAAGCCTGCCTTGTGCTGCTGACATTCAGGGTTTGCAGTGAACCTGTGCCCAAGTAGGGAAAACTGAAAACCAGTGAAATCCAGTTCACTACTCCAGTAGGAATTTGTGGTGTAATTTGACATCCTAGAACAGTTAAGACAGGATTGTACTTGGAAAAAAACAAGTGATCTTTAGAGCTTTGCAGGGAAGGAGAGAGTTTCTGAAATACTTGAGTGCTGGTAGAATTTCCAGAATATTTCAGTGCCTTTGGCTGTTTCAGAGGGACTCTCTGCCCTAACAGCTCAATAGCTTTTATTTCCACCCCATGAGGGTACTGTGGCAAAGCTCCATTTCAGAGTGTGAAGAGGCTGTTCCTGCTGCAAAAAAGATTTAAGTGAAGTTGTGTAACCCGATGCTCTCTTTTTGTCAGGGATTGATGTAGAGCAGGTGTCTGTTGTTATCAATTTTGACCTGCCTGTGGATAAGGATGGCAATCCAGACAACGAGACCTACCTGCACCGCATCGGCCGCACCGGCCGCTTCGGCAAGCGAGGGCTGGCCATTAACATGGTGGACAGCAAGCACAGCATGAACATCCTCAACAGAATCCAGGAACATTTCAGTACGTACCCTCAGCCTTTCTCCTTTCTCTAAGCTGTTGAATCGCTGCAGAATTGGACTTGTTGGGTGCTGAGCAGGTCTCAGGGTGTTTGTTGAGCCTTAAACGGGTGGCAGAGGAGCACAGCGGGAGTGTTTGGTGTAGCATCACTTGGGATTGTGAGCTGCTGCCTGGGACAGGAGCAGAATAAATCAGGCTGTGTTTGCTGTCTGCATGGATAGTCCTTGAAGTGGATGTTCTGGAGTACCCAAAAGGGCTTTGATAAAAGGAAACAGTTTTAATTTGTATTTTTAAAACCTGACTGAACATTCACTGATAAACCAGAACTCAGGTCCAGCTAAGAGCAGCGTTCCCTTCTCTGCTCAGTGTTAAGAAATCTGCCCTATTTCTCTTCTTTCCCAGACAAAAAGATAAACAAATTGGATACTGATGACTTGGATGAAATTGAGAAGATAAATAACTGAAATAGCTGCTGGAACTGGTGTGTGCCCTGCTGTGGAAGCTCTCCCACTACAATTGGATCAATGTTTGGATTGGCACAGCCTCTCGGCTCGTCCCGAAAAGGACTCTTCAAGATATGAGTACACAAAAATTACCTCATGTTCAAAATTGCAGTTGGACTTCAAATTGTGCAACTATGGGGAGGAAGAGGAAATGTTTACAGAAGCTTTTAACATTTCTTAGTTTAGCCTTAAAATGGGATGATCTTTGGAATTCTGAGAAATACACTTGCCAAAAGAGAGGCAATAGGGAATACCTAAAATTTTAAAAGGAAAAAAATATTATCTTTAATTGGGATAATGTGCAGCATTAACCTGGTCAGTTTAAATCCAACAGCTGAATATATAACGGACACAAGGAAAGGGAAAAAAATTTAAAAAAAAGAAAACCTAAAAACCCCAAACGAGGCAACTGGTTTTTGGCTAAATACTTAACTTGTACAAACTAGGATGTCACTCCCCTGAGCTCTTTAAGACTCATTTCTGGCTTTCTGATGGATTTGCCCTGCTTTTCCTTCCATAAATTGTCCTGAGGAAGTCTCCAGTAGCTCCTACTCGCAAACACAGGTGCAGTGTGGCTTTGCTGGGCAGCATTTTCTTTTCCTTTGTCCAGGATTTGTTGGGATGGCCGCTCTCCGTGCCGTGGGTGGTGGTGACACTACACAAGCTCATCCCAAGTGTTTAACCTGGCTGTGGTGTGGGAGGGGCAGTATGAAGGGAACTGTACTAATGGATTGCCTGATTAAATTCACCTCTGTGAATGAAATTCACCATCTGATGAAATGCACCATGCTGTGAAGCTCAGCATGGGTAATGTACAGAGCTGTTGGGCTTCACCCATCTGATACAGGATTACAAGAACCAACAAATCATGATAGCCTGGATTGACCAAAAAAATGTACCCTTAGTACACCAAATTTACCTGTTGCAGTAGGTTTCAGTACCAGAGTTTTGAGTCAAATTGCTCAGCCAAATTGCAGGTGGGAAGTGCTCCATAGTACAAAATAGGTTGTTGGTCCCTGCCCCGGGGTGTTCCATGGAGAAGGAAGGATTCACAGCTCCTGGAGAAGGAAGGATGACGCCTCCTGTGTGTTGGAACCACTCTTGTGCACACAGCTGGACACTGTGGGCTGTCCCCCAGCCCAGTCTCCAGGAGAAGGAGGCTCCTGAACCAGAACTTAGGGTGCACAGCTCTTTGTTGGGGGGGAAATGGGACATGCATGAGCAGCCATGGGCCTGCTACTCAGCGTGGGAATCATGTCAAAACAAATGTATAAATTGTAAATTTAAACTGAATTGTTTTCTTTGCAATTTTGGCCATCATATTCTGTTCAAAGACAGGAATATGGATCCTTTTACCAAGTAAAAAAAGGCTCATTTAAAATGTACCTAAAATTTTAGGAAATTGTGCACCCTTTTATCAATTTGTATAAAGGCTTTAGTGAAGAAAAAAAAAAACAGCTTAAAATTAAACTTTTTGTATTCTGGGGTGTATCTATTTTTATTCTGTTGGAATCCTATTTAAAGTGGCAGGTGAGTGAGTGCGTGTGGAGTGGAAGAATTGATTTAATCACCTACTTTCCTAGTACAGTTGAATGACCTGGTGACAGCAGAGTATTGGATTGAATTGTCATGGAAGCTGCTGCTGGTCCTGTGTGCTGTTTCTAATGTACTTTTAATTGGAATTAAAGAACACATACTGAACAATCCCTTTGCTGACTTCTTGCTTGAATACTTTGTTGGTGTTTAAAAGCCTCAGTGAGGACATTCTCGGCCAAAAGTCCTGATAAGTTTTGTATTTGTGACAGAATTAATTTTAATGCTGAAATTCTTAAAAGATTCCCACTAAGAAGTTTGTTAAATGATGCCACACAATAAATGAGGTCAGGCAAATATTGTTCTTCCCCCAGTGCTTCTTGTGCTGGACTTAGAATTGCTGCTAAAAATCTCCCCAGAACAGTTCTGAAGGGAAGAGAAGAACTGAGGGAGAAAAGAGGTGTTTTCCCTGTGCTGTGCTTGCCTAGATCAAGACTTGATACTTTTTGCCCATCTCTGGAGATGCTGTAGGCTGGGTGAGGTGATTGGAACCAAACTCATCCAGCTTTACCAGGAGGAACATCCTGCAGTGTGAGAAATCCACCGTGAGCCGAGTTACTCTGAATTGTCTGATGGTTCTGTTCTTGCTCAGAGCCCCTGTGCTCTCACAGCTGCTCCCCAGCTCTGCTCACAGCTGGTCACTGATGGAGAGTGCTTCCTCCTTGGCTGCAGGCTCGTGCTGAGCACAGGATGCAGATCCAAATTTCAGGAGGGCGGTGTGGAGGGCAGCTGACCATCCAAAGGCTGATTTGGGCAGCCCCTGAGGAATTTGCCATCAGATTGAAGGTTTCTTAAGAGCAGGTGTGATGGATAAACCTGAGCTCATGTAAATCATTTAAAGTTCAAGTTTCAGCCTAAAAGGTTTTATTTAACACAGGATGGAAAGACACTGAAATACAGGAGTAATACAGTACCCACAACAGGCAGAAATAGGGAACTAACTACCTAACTCTGAAGGAAACCTGGAAAATGGTCCCTTTTCCTGAAACCAAGTGAAATACTTCATGGTTCTGTTGAAGGCATCCATATGTGTCGATATTGTGACAGCTGCTGAGTGATTCCCATCACCAACAGCAGCAGGGACCACTGTTCCATCAGACACTGGTTTTACAAAACTGCTGGACCCTGAACACTTGATTTAGCATCAGGTACCACACTCAGGCAGCACAGAAATCAGCTTTCTGCTCCTCTTGTGTTTGTGCTCCTGTGCAGGGTTGGTTTGGCACTTACACTGAACTTCAAAACAAATTTGGTTTGCCTCAAAACATTTAAACTCACTCATCTGTGTGGCAAGTGTCCATTGTTAAAGGAGATTAAAAATTACTGCCTTTGAAATTCCATTAGGAACTAGAAGATATTTCTCTTTTTAGCACAAGGACATTGTGTTTGCCTAAACCTGCCAAGTCACCCAACCACAGCCTTTTAATGATGGTGCAGTCAAAGATGGCTTACTCCTTGAGCCAGATCCCAGTTAAATCCCATTAATATCTTATTTAAAATTCCCAAAGCAGCACTTGCTCCTTGGACTAACTCGCTTCAGTGCAAAGGGGTTAAATGGAATTATCTGTAACATCCCTTCTTAACTATCCACCTCTTCCTACCTATGGGTCACATGAGCCAAATAAGAGAAGGAGAACTAAGGAGAAAATCCTGTTGCTCCCCAAGACAGCCAAAAGAATAATTATTTGTTCTTAAAAAGATGATTTAGTCACAGTTAGAGCTGGACTGAGGTTATCCAGAAACACCTGAGTCGTCACAGCTATTTTACAATCAGTCTTGCAATTTAATACTTCACAATAACTCATTCCTGTGTTACTACTGTTATTTGCAGATGGGTTTGGGGGTTGATCTCCTTTTCAGTCTCTTGAGAAGACATTTAGGATAATGATAAGCTACTGAAGGTGGTCCTGAAGCTAAACCAGTTCTGTTTCTACCTTCCCAAATGGTTCTTCTGCATTCAGAGAAGTGGTACCTCCCCAAAACATGGAAAAGGACAAGAGGAGAGGTCTTGGAAGCCTGAGTTTTCAAAGAACATCAGGAACTTCAACAAACCAGAAAGGCTGAAGGTTGGTGGTGCTGAGGCAGAAATTTGTGATGGCACAGGTGACACAGGCTGTTCTGTATCAATAAGGTTTATCCATCTGAAATACTATTCTCTGAAAAACTATCTCAAGTACTATTACATATCCCTAACTCTGCTTCCTGGGGATTTTGTGGGAGATTAAGAAGTAGGTGCAGGAAGCATCAGACTCTCATTTTTGGAAGAAGCAATGCAGCTCGCTGAGCAGAAGCACCACAGTGTCTCTGTGTGCCTAAAGATCTGCTGCTGCATCGTGCTGCTTGTGCTGTCGGATGCACAGCACGGACTTGGGCAGGATCCTGCACTCCTGGAGGGACTTGGTAAGGTCAGAGAAGCTCCTCCGGGGCACCTCCATGGTTTCAACGCTGCAGTGTTGGTAGTTGGCCAACAGTTTCTGTCCTGCCACAGCAAGGACGGTCTGGAGGCTGTCAGAGGGTTTGAAGTGGTGCTCAAACCTCTGCCCAGAGGGAGAGCGGACAGCGAGCAGCACCTGCGGCTCTTCCAGGCCTGCAGGGAGCACCCAGGGGCTCTCCTGCCTCCCCTGCCCTCCCCACTGCTCAGGGGCACAGGGGACATGTGAGCTCTCCTCGGTGGGAACGCCACTTCCTGACGGTGTGCTGGCACATCCCTGTCCTCCAGAAGAAGCCTTGGTGGCTTTTGGAGCATCCTCCTGGCCCTCGCTCACCTCCAGCCGCTTGGTCCGTTCGGCCAAGGCTTCCACGGCGCTGCTCCCCGCGCCCTTCCGGCCGATGGAGGGCAGCACCCGGTACCTGTTCAGGGAGGAGGAGGAGGGGGTCTTCAAAGGCACCTGCTGCAGAAGCTTCGGGATTTTCCCAGGAGACACCTGGGCAGGTGGGAACGCCGCTTTTGTGAGCGGCGCTCTCCGGCTCTTCACCAATTCCCGAGGAGAGGCTGCCAGCGGGGAACCTGGCACAGGGCACGGACAGCCTTCCGTGCCCTGACGGTGGCTCAAGCTTGGCCTCTGCCCCTTGGCAGATTTGGGCCTGGAGACGTGCATGGTGATGGTGCTGCACAGCAGAGTGGCTGTGCCCAGAGGGGAGCGGAGCTGAGCTGGTGCTGAGTCCTGGAGAGCCGCTGTGGCCATGGCACCTGTGGGGTGGGAAAGAGGGAAAAGTTACAGGAACTGGGCAGGAGCCCTCAGCCTCCCTGGAGCTGCCACACTGGGCTCTGGGGCAGGTAATTCCAGATAAACCTGGGGTGCCACTGCATGGGCATCACTGGGAATCACTGGGAATCACTGGGTATCACTGGGAATCACTGGGAATCAATGGGCATCACTGGGTATCACATGGATGTCACATGGGCATCACTGGGCATCACTGGGCATCACTGGGTATCACTGGGAATCACATGGGCATCACTGGGTACCACATGGGCATCACTGGGTATCAATCACATGGATATCACTGGGAATCAGTGGGCATCAATCACTGGGCATCACTGGGCATCACTGGGTATCACTGGGCATCACTGGGTATCACATGGGCATCACTGGGCATCACTGGGTATCACTGGGCATCACTAACCCTGCAGTGCAGGAAGGGCCGGGTCCCAGAGGTGGCAGCTGTGTTCTGTGCAGGGACTGGCCTTGGCAGGGATTGTGCAAAGCTGACCCAGAGCTTTGGGGAGTTGTGCCCTTTGCCAGTGAAAGTCAGTTTTTGATGGAAAGAACGATTTCTTTCTTCTGAAGCTGCAAACTCAGCACAAGTGGGAGAGGAGGGAAGCTCAGAGCACAACTCTGGCCTTTGCACTGCTCCTGCAGGGGCAGATTCAGTGCCCAGGGTGGATTTTGGGATAAGACTGACTTTATATTTTAAAGGTATCAAAACCATTGAGATTGAAAATCCCTGATTCAATACACAGAAATCTGTTCTGACTCTCCAGAGACCAAAGGCTTGGTCCAAAATTCTCTGTTTAACAGAATGATTTACCTGAGGGAATGGCAGGAGCTGTGTCAGGGCAGGGTTAGGCTGGAGATCAGGGAAAGGCTCTTCCCCCAGAGG